GGAGTGACGTTGGGGTGGACCCCTCCCCAAGACGTCCAGGGTCAAGGTCCCCGGAGCTTGGCGCCCGAGATCCCAGCGTCCAGGACGGCAGCGGGAGCTCTGGGCGAGCCTTGACAGGCCGGTGTCCCCATTCGCTGAGGCCGGGCGCTCCGGGGGTCGGAGGCGGATCGATCGGCGCACTAGGGAGTTCTGGAACTCCGAGGAAGGATGGAGGGGGGTGACGTCGGTTCCCGGGTTCCAGGTCTCCAATTCTGACCCTTTCTGGGTCTGACCACTCCCCTTTGTGTCCTAGGAGTTTGGGTCCCCAGGTGCTCTCTTGGGTGCAAGCCCTCTCCGCTCCTAGCTCACCTTCCCGGGGCCATCCATAGTGGATTTTTGTTAGTTAGTTTGTCTCCCACGCGCTGGGGTCCAGCAGGGTCCAGAAACTCCATCAGGGCATGATTCTTCCTTCCCCCATTCTCTCCTGCAGTCTCACAGGCGAGCCTGGCCCGCCTCTACCAACGGTTCCGGGCCCTGGATAAGAATAAGAAGGGGTACCTCTGGTAAGGGGGGAGCCCATCTCATCACCTGCCCCCTGTCTCCCAGACCCCATTCCCCGGCCTTGACCTCCATCTTCCGTCTAGGCCCTCCTTTTCCCTCTTTGACTTTTGGTTTTACAGCCGCGTGGATCTCCAGCAGATTGGGGCTCTGGCCGTCAACCCTCTGGGAGACCGCATTATAGACAGCTTCTTTCCTGAAGGGTGAGGCTTCCCTGCAGGTGGGGAGGTGGTGGTAAGATTAGGGATGGGCCCTGAAAGAGGGCCCAGAGGACCACTGCGCCACTCCATCCCACCACCAGGAGTCACATCGTAGATTTCCCAGGCTTTGCCAGAGTTCTGGCTCATTTTCGTCCCGTAGAAGAGGAAGACACAAGGGTCCGGGATGCCAAGGAACCAGAACCACTCAACAGCAGGATGAACAAACTTCGCTGTGAGTATCTCTGCTCCTATCCAAGGATCAGTTGGCGGTCTAAGTGGTTCCCAGCCTGCAGTTTTTACCAGCATCCCATGGTGTGCATCCAGGTTCTGAACTCGCGGTCACCTGACAGCGAAGAGCAGAGCAGACCCAGAGGGCTTCCAAGGTTGTAGTCTTGAGGGAGCCCGGCCCGAGCATCGTTTTCCTGCAGAATGACTGATGGGTTAAAACGGCCACCCTTTTTGACTATTGCACGGCCAGGGCCTCCGATACTGCTACTCCCTGCCATGGAGTCGATGCCGACTTATAGCCACTCTATAGGACGGAGCAGAATTGCTCCTGTGGGTTTGTGAGTGTAACTCTTTCCTGGAGTACATAACCTCTCTTTCTCTGGAGGAGTGGATGGTGGTTTCAAACTACTGACCTTGGGGTTAGCAGCCCAGTGTGCAATCATTACACTACCAGGGAGTACATAAAAGAGGGAATTTGGGTGGGGACTGTGTATCATACCCCAATGTAAATGTGGCAGACACTCCACGTTTACCCATACCCTTGAGAGGCCCAGGGACCTTGCACTCTAGTGTATCCTACCCACACCTTTTGTAGCCTATTTATGACCGCCCACTCCTCTGGAAGAGAAGCAGGGACAACCCACATTCCTTGTCCCCCCTCTCTTCCTAGTTGCCTTTCAGCTCTATGACCTGGATCGAGATGGAAAGATCTCCTGGGATGAGATGTTACAGGTAGGAAGAATGCCAGAGAGACAGATGTGATCTGTGAAGGGTGGGGGAGTTGACTGTAATGATTATGGGGGCTGGTAGGGGTGATTATGCAGTGTGATGATTGGTATTGGTCGATAGAGGCTGCAGATAACTGGTGTTTCATGGGGGTAAGTAGGTTGGAATGTGGGTTAGTTAGAAGATAGGGGGAAGGTTAGATATGAAGTTGGGAATAGATCAATGGTGATTTTGCCCCCTGAGTGACATTTGGCAAAATCTGGAGGTCGACAGAAAGTGGGGGAGGGTATACTACTGGAATTTAGTGGGTAGAGGCCAGGAATGCTACTAAATGTCCTCCATACACAGGCCAGCCTCCTGCAACACAGAATTATCTGACTTCAAATATCCATAATGCTGAGGTTAAGAAATTAGGAATTTGCTGTTGGAATGAGGTGGGAGATGGAATTGGAGGATGAGGTGGGATGGGGTGGAGGGTAGATGGAGGTTAGGGTATAAAGTTGCAGGTGAATAGTGAGTTTGGGCATATTATTGAGGTGAGTGTGGGACAGTGGGGAATGGATGGGGGATTGTATGGAATTATTGGAGGCTGTGGTGGGAGAAAGATAGGGCTTTCTCCGACCAAGGCAAAACACTAAGGGGGTGCAACAGAACAGCAAC